GAGTTGACGGATAAAAGCGGGAGACGGAGCGGGAGTTGACGGATAAAAAGCGGGAGACGGAGCGGGAGACATAAAAGTCACGTGTAGTTCAGGAAAGCGGTAGGCGACCGACAGAATCGGAGAATAGCACGCTTCTGGCTTCAGAGCTGCATGCTTGTTGCATAAAGATGAATGATTCTTGCAACTCCAGTACAACTACAACAACTCCCTTACGGCGAGATTTGGACAACAATTTAGAAGCTTTTGAAGTTATAGATATTCTTTCTACTGTTTCTTCGAAGGATCTGTCTCGATCACCACCAGTTTTGCCAAAAGAGGGTGAACTGTACGTTTTTCATCTAGGTGAAGACTCTCAGCTCAGGAATAAGAATAAGAGAAAGTTTAGGTGAAATTATTATAAGTATTATTGATACCTAATACGTGATATGCATGAAACACTTTGACATAAGCTAATGTTGTTAATAAAAATAATGTCATATTTCACTTTGAACACAGATGTGATCAGTACCGCTGGGTGAACAAGGGTGTTTTTGCTGTGAAGTGTAGTAATGGTTTAGAGCTTACTAAAAGGTCCAATTACATTGACAGAGCTGATCTTCCTCGAAATAAGGGTGATGAAAGATTTAGAAGATGGGAGTTCTGGGGTTATAAAAATCTTTTTGTTTTGCACTACACCGGTGATCATTCCGTATTTAGCCCATTTGCACATCGTAGTGCTAAGCTTAGTGAAGTATCTAGACCTTTTATAAGGTCGGCACCATTTGTGAAAGAAAAGGTACTAGCATAAACTGTAAATTTTTGTTTCCTGAAGTTTATATTAATATTATATATAGGTGTGTGAGAGTAACCCTTTGAAATCAAATAAAGAGATATACAGAGATATTATCAATTCAGATGAAGGAGGTCCCAGGCACTGTATTGAAACCCCTCGTAATATTGAACAGGTAAATGAGACTATTGCCTTGGCTTTATGTTTGAGGTTTGATGCTTTGCTTATATATATATATATATATATATATATATATTTATATAGGTTAAGAACTTTAGGGACACTCAGAGTAGATCACAGCGGATTTCACATGATGCATTGTTCAATTTATATCAGCTGTCTTTTAATTTAAAATTCCCAGATCGTAGAGGAGAAGCAAAAGATTTTGTCTCATATCTCGCTTTACATCCAAGGATATTGGTTCATCTTCTTCCTCATCCCATTCTTGAGTCTTTGGAGCAGCTAGTAAAAATACAAAATAAACCCACTCTGCTTCACTATGACACAGCATTTAATGTGGGAGATTATTATCTTTCAATATTGTCATTTCGACACGCATTGTTCCATGAAGAACCAATCATTCCTTGTGGTTTCCTGATTCATTCTAGAAGATATCAAAATGATCATAAGGATTTTTTGGAGGTGATTACTGCCACAATTCGTCCACTTCAGACAAAGCAGATCAACTTTGTTAGTGATAGAGAATTTAAATTTTCTTCGATTTTTCCAGTTGGCTTTCAACTCCATTGTTGGATTCATTTTCACAATGATATACATTGGTATTTGAGAAATAATACTGAGTGCACTCCGGAAGAGTCTAACATAATTTTGAATGGGTTTAGAGATCTAATGTTGAGTGTAACAGAAGGAGAAATGGATGAAGAATGGAAAGAAATGAAAGAAAGTGCTGTTGTGAGAAAGTATGATAAAGTTTGTCAATACTTGGAGAATAATATAATACCATCCTTTAAGTCTCATGCTGCCATTTGGACACTCAAGCTTGCTGGAATTTCAAATGCAGAAAATGGTCTCACCAACCATGCATCAGAATCTATGAATGCTGTTATTCGTAGATTGCAACAATGGAAGCAAGTACCGGTTGACGTTATAGTAACATCACTTCATCACTTATGCATTTATTATCGTTGCGAGATTGAGAGATCTGTTCATCAATGTGGGCAATGGAGAGTAAAAGATGAGTTTAGCTACTTGAAAAGAGAACCATCATTACTACCTTATATGGAAGTAGCACCAAGTCCTGAGGACATAGTAGAAGCAGTTCGAAAGGGCATTGCTGTTGGTATTGACATTGATGGTGCTGAATCTTTTCCGGCTGAGTCTGTTCCTGCTAATAGTGATGTTATGTTAGCCCGTAGTGCATTAGCAAATCAACGAGTAAAACTCGTCGATGATGGTGCTTGGATAGTCACAAATGGTGACCGCGTTACATCTTGTGCTGTCAGGCTCTTTCCCAAAGAAACCTGTTCTTGTTCTTGCACCAGGACATGTTATCACATAATAGCGTGTCGTTTGATGTTGGGCTTACCACTTGAAGTGCAGGGAAAAGGAAACATGTCAGAAATGAGACGGAAAGAGCGCCAAAAAAGAGAGAGGCCAGCTGGAAGGAAAAAACCACGAAGAGCAGATTATGCTGATGCTGGAAATCCAAATAAGAAAAGTAAAAGTAAATAGTTTCATTTCATGATTGATAATCCTAAATAGGTAAGACTGCTCAACATGATAATAAAGAAGATTCTATTTTAGCAAATGAATGTGACAGTCATATAGCCACATGCAATGATGAAATTGTTGCTCCTACTAATAATAGCACTACCTCTACTGTACCAATGTCACCATTATTGAATACTGATAATGCTAGTCAAGGTGAGAAATACTTTATATGCTATTTAAGTATTGTAATTATTTTAGATGCACCTGTCAGCTGCAATAGCAGTTATTTGTCTCTACTTTTATCTACAAAACAAGTAAATGTGAAGATCAGCAGAATGTTACTCAATATACATGGCAATGTTATTCATTGGTCTCAATATCTGACCCTTCTGAATGATAGATATCCTGGTGTTCTTGTAGCAAATTATGTTTGCAATGCATCTTTTGAACATGTATGCACTTGTATAACCTGAAACAATAATCTTTATTACCTTATTTTATAGGAAATTTCACATCTTAATGAGAGACAGGTTGCAGTAATACAAACGATTAGATCTAAGCAAGCAGCAATATTGATGAGGTCAGCTGACAATAAATGGAAGCCTACTGTTGAAGTAAGTTGGCAGTGCTAACTTCATATAACTGTACAATATCTCCCCACTACATTTGAGCCATGTGGATAGATCAGTCTTGTTTTAGCTCATGCTTTAGTGCTTGATTTTGATAAATATAGCTCAGTTTGCAAAATTTGTCAAGCACACAAGGATTAGTACGGCATGCACATGTATTACAAGAATTTTTATTTATTTTCGAACTTAATAATTATTATTTTATTTTTCAGATTATTTCAACATATCAAACACCAGACACAGCTGAACTAGAGTATCATGCTGGAGTAATGCTGCGAAGAAACATATCATATGATGGTTTTTCTTTCTTTGCGAAGCACACTGGAGTACAATTTTTATTGGAGGAGGAAGAGGAGGAGTATAGCCATGATGTTTTGCTAGCTGCATTACTCTACTACATTTGTACAAAAGGAAGCATTAACATAGATCGAGTGAGATTTGATAATGAATCTATTTGTAATGAGGTAGCTCACCTGGTTTCGACACATTCTCATGACAGTTTATCTTATGAATTTGTTAACGATCCATTCTGTGAAGAAAGTATAGACTCAATAATGCTACACTGTTTGTGTAAATGTCCCTGGATAGATGGATCAACAGCGCAAGCTATATTTAATACCACTATTCGTAAGAAATTTAATATGCATTGTTGTTGCCGATGTAGTACCTGGTATCATCTCTATTGTCTTGAACAGTGCAAAGTAAAGCTTCCTAAGCGTACTGAAGACTATATTTGCCCAACTTGTTACATTCCACCAGTTTTAGAATGGAAACATCCCAAATACACAAATACATGTACCTCAGACAATATCCTTACCATAATGATGATGTACTGTCACCAGAATAGGCAATTTCTCAGTTACTTTAAATCTTCTGATGGAGAAAATGCACTAAAATCTGGTCTGTTGGCAATGTTAAGTGGGAAATTAATTCAAGGAAAATCTATCGTACTTGATTGGGTCCATTCACAGCGTAACCTCCCTCTCACTCGGGATGGGACTTTAAACTGTCATGGAACAGAATTTGATATGTTTTTGTCTATGTTTTGTCATGTGTGGAGACTTCATCAGGAAAGACGATGTGACTCTAAGTTTTGTCCTTCACCTGATTCAGAAAGGAATTTATGTAATTTTTCATTAGATACAGTCTTTGAATCAGATTATTCATATTATAGCCAGATGTACAGCACATTCCCAAAACCTGGGGACAAAATTCAAGGGTATTGTGGATCAGAATTTTCTTTAAAACCTCCATCAGTAGCACCACAGGCCTACAATTATAGGGAAGATGTATCAGGAAATGAAAGAGAATACTTTTATGAATGCAGAGGAACACCTTCTATTACTAGATCCTTTTTCACAACTAGTACCTCTCCGTGGATAATTCCTTTTGATATCTCTGCAATAAAAGGTTATCAAGACCTTATGATGTTAAGAACTACCGCCACAATGGATATTGATATTTACAACACTCGATATTGCTTTGGGGGATTCACTATGGTAAAAAATAACCACCTGACAGCTGCAATAATGTGGAAAGGAGATCTTTACTATTATGATGGCATTAAGAATTCTCAAGATGACAGATTTCGACGCTTGGAAGACCAAGACTTTTTTGATCAGGAAGGATCTACTTTGATATATATACCTCAAACAGTGAACTTATCATAGTAGTAATTTTTGAACTAACAGTCAGACTATAATGATTGAGTTTATAACTAAAAATTAATCAGAACTAATTATAACCTTATTATAATAATTAATTATAAGAACTTAGAATTTATATAATTGTGTGTTTGTAGTGCTCCCGCTTATAGCAGGAGTCCATAATCTCCTGCTTATATAGCGCTAGCCATAACGATTACTTCCTGTATAGGCGTAACTCCAGCTCCGTCTCCCGCTTTTTATCCGTCAACTCCCGCTCCGTCTCCCGCTTTTATCCGTCAACTCCCGCTCCTGCTCCCGCTCCGTCTCCCGCTTTTATCTGGTCCCAAGATAAGGCCCTCTAAGAAGTCTGGTAAGCACAGGAGCTCGTTTTCCCGGTATAGCAAGGCTGCAACAAAAGTAAGTGCCGTTAGGGAGAGATTGTTACCATCCCGTAAATGTCCGTAAAACAAGTTTGTGCGCATGCGCATCGGTGCAAAATGGAACTTAGTTTTTGTCAGGACTGCTCTAGAGGCTTTTAAAGCCTTGGGACTCTCTGAAATAAAAAAAACTAAACCCTAAACCAACTAAGGGGCTCCTAAATTGAGTAGGGACGCTCTAAAAAAAAACCGCCACCCTAACCCCTAAACCCTAGAAACAATAGCTAAGTCCTAAAAAACAATAGCTAACTAGGGGACTAACATAACTAGGGGAGAAGGCTAAGTAGAAAAGGTAAAAAGTTAAATTTTTGAAAGTAAAAAAAAAAGAAAAGCAAATTTGCCCTGCCCTGAGCTGGATTCGAACCAGTACCACGTCCACATTCTGCCCCACGCCTTCCCCACTGAGCCACCACGATCCTGCTGCCTCAACCCCACTGATTGTCGTATCTATACTTAATTTCTATATTGTTATAAGATAATATACTGGGGCGAAGCCCCAGTATAGTATACAGGCGAAGCCTGTAAAAGTCCGTTGACGGATAGTTTACGGGATGGTAACAATCTCTCCCTAATGGCTAGTATAAAAGTCGTGGCAGCCATTTTGTTTTGGGGCATATAGGCGCCAATAGGCGGGACTGGTTATTTAACATTTATAACTATTAGTATAATTTATGATTATTTAACTATTAGTTGATGGTTATTAATATTATTCGACAAGCACACTGCAATGAGTTAAAACAGCACATCAATTTCAGCACGCTAATATGTTGTATTAGCACACTAATTATGTTGAAATAACACATTTACAAAGTGTGTCATTTTAACATGATGTGTAGTGTGTTAAAAT